TTTTACACAAACAAACACAGATACTTACTGACATACACACACACACGCACGCACACACACGCACATAAAGGTATATACACACACACACGCACGCACATATATATATATATATATACAATCACACACATGATTTTTTTAATTTTTCAAACAATCACCATCGAATAAAAAGACAAGTCATCATGACGTCATTAAGATTCTATCAGTTTTGAGTGTAGTTAACAACTAATTAATTGAAAATTAATTAATTAATTAACATATTTAATTGTTGGTTTAATAAGTTCAATTATACGCAACCAACAGCCAACACTCACCAATCAAGACCAATCGTCAACCAAAGCATCATGTATGACTGATTGATCAGGCGGTATCTCAATTTTGATTTTCAAAAACTAACTTATCATTAATTAAAAAAACACAAATAATTAAAATAATTATACACTTCTTAAATACTCACACACGCACACGCACACACACATACACACACATGCACACACACACGTGTCATACATAACCTTGCACATGAACACAGATGGTTGCACAAGTGCTCTGTAAATTGATGCCCACGTGTTTGTATGTATGTTTGTATGTGTGTGTGTTTGTATATATGTTTGTATGTGTGTGTGTGTACGTGTGTATGTATATACAAACAAAGTGTATGTTGAAAAACTTCACTGCTTGCTTATAAGTTGAAAAGCTCGTCTGTTTAAAAATTATTTTTTCTTTCATCTCGTATTCCGTCTTAATAACATCATTTAAGATCTCAGTTTCCCAATCTTAGAGCTAGAGTTCTTACATTCTGAGAACCATGCTTCCAAATTTTTTCAGAGCACATTTCGATGTATGCTTGTATGGGGGGCTTGAATTTTTTGTGTGGGCTTGTTGGTTAGTGTTGTATGTATGTTTGTTTGTTTGTGTGTGTAGGTGTGTGTGTGTAGGTGTGTGTGTGCAGTGTGTGGTGGGTGTTTGCAGGAATAATTATCTAGCCTATGTTTAATTCATCATAATAAATATGAAAAATTTCATTTGGAATCGGTTTTCGATAATTTTGTTTTTAGGTTTGAATGTATGTTTGCTTACATATTTGTTTTTTATGTTTTTTTATATTTTTGTCTATTTTTTATGTATATTTTCTTGTATGCATGCAAGTATGCATGTATGTATGTATGTATATTTGTATGTATGTATGTATGTATGTATGTATGTATGTATGTATGTATGTATGTATGTATGTATGTATGTATGTATGTATGTATGTATGTATGAATGTTTGTATGTTTGTATGTATATTTGCTTATACGCATATTTTTATGTAGGTTTTAAGTATGTTGTGTATATGTGAATACGTGTGCATTATTTTGTATGTGTATATCTGTTTGTATATTAAAGTATGCAGTCTTTTATGTATGTATGTTTGTATGTATGTATGTGTATCCTTGAATGTGTATGTATGCCATATTAGTATGTATGTGTGCCATTTTGTATGTGTCTGTATGCATGTATGCATGTGTGCCATCTTGTATACGAATGTATGCGTATGTTTGTATGCGTACGTATGCCATTTTGTATTGTATAGTTTATACAATCTAGTATAAAATAATTTGGGAAGAGAGTGAAGTGCCTGGATTAAGATATTTGAGTCGTGGATTCTGGATGGATTCACATCAAAGTCACCCTTGCAATTGATGTTGTTGTTTGTTGTTGTTGTTGTGTAGTAATAGAAGTAGTAGTAGTTGTAGTAGTAGTAGTTGTTGTTGTTGTTGTAGTAGCAGTAGCAGTAGTAACAACAGTAGCAGCAGCAGTAGTAGTGGTAGCAGAAGTAGCTGTCGGAGTAAAAGTAGTTAAAGTTGGTATTTTGCCGCACCAGTTGTCGCATATTTTTGGTTTATAAGTCAAATTTCTTCAATTTAGATCAGCATCATTATCATCATCATTTTCCTCCTCTTCCTCTTCCTCCTCCTCCTCCTCCTCCTCCTCCTCCTCCTCATCTTCATCATCATCATAGTCGTCGTCATCGTCATCATCATCTCCAGATGTCATTTGGTTTCTCTTGTCGTTGTTGTTAGTTTCGAGGGCCTATACATCATTATCGATAATGATGATGATGACGGCATCGATATGATGATGATGTTAGTGGCGATGATAATGATAATATTAGTGGCGATGATGATGATGATGTTAGTGGTGATGACGATGATGATAAAATTGATGATGATGATGATGAATATGGGGTTGCGAAATTTTTATTATTATTGTTCCAGCATAAGTTTATAAAATTTCAAATATTTGCTTAACTAAAAAATGTCACACAATATTTTTGAATAAATTGGTATACATTTGCATAGAAGCATACAAAAATTGTATGCAAGCAATGTTTAAAAACACACAAACACTGTATACAAACACACAAAAAAACATACATAAAAAACATACAAACAATTCACCAGGATGCTACAAATTGGCCTTTTTCATTTGAAACCTGAAAATAAATCTAACAAATTTCTATTGAGTAAGACAAACATATCCCCACACACACACACGCACACGCCACACACACACACACACACGCACACGCACATACACACATACCGTACATATGTGTGATGGGGGACAGTACATGAGAAACAATGAAACAAGTTAATTTCATTCAGGTTAAGTCAACATTGAACGTGTTACACGTCTGAAGAACACACACACACACACACGCACACACACAGTTGAAAATATACACGCACACTGCAAATGACACACGCACACAAAACTACCCACACACATAACAACACACGCACATATGCAAAAAAGCTTATAAAATAACCCTATGCGTATATATATATATATATATATATATATATATATATATATCAATAATCACGCACACACGCACAAACACACACGCACAAACACACACACACACATTCAACTCTAAGACATAAAAGTCTGTTAATATGAACATTTTTAAAAACGAATAATATCTTGTACGTGTTGAATAGAACACGAAAATTCATCTAACAGACGTTTGCCCGCTCGCATACAACGTCTGCATGTTTTTAATTAATGTTTTGTTTGTATGCAATGTTTGTATACATTGTTTGTATACAATTTGTATATTGTTTGTATTCTTTTTGTATCATCCTATCGTTGTATACACACATACACACTTTTGTGTACAAGTTAATCAGATTAATGCCACATAAACAAAATCATACACACATATATATTCATTCGCTTGCATCCATATTTTATTAACAAATACATCTTTACACATATAGTGCGTGTGTATGTGTGTGTGTGTGTTTACGTGTGTGTGTGTGTGTCTGAGTGTGTGTCTGTGTGCATGTGAACTTTTTAACTTTTTAAATAAATTTCATCTCCATCAAATCAAGATATCATTCCAGTTGTAGTTGCTTCGGAGGTACTACTGGCTACGTTGAACGAATGGTTGAAACAGTACGATACAAAATGATACAAAATGATACAAGATGATACAAAATGATACAAGATGATACATAATGATACAAAATGATACGAAATGATACAAAAAACAAACAATACAAACACAAATAACACAGACGATTCTGAAAAATTTCGACTATGTTTGCTCATGTCCAAAGCCGCTTTTATGAATTGTTATATTATATATATATGTGTGTGTTTGTGTGTATGTGTGTGTGTGTGAGTGTGTGTGCGTGTTTAAAGTTCGTAGATATATTATATAGATATATATTAAAAATTGGGTTTATATAATCTAGGCAAATACACAAGCTTGCATGCGTCCATGTATGCCTGCGTGTATGTATGTATTATGTGTGTTGTATGTGTTTGTTTGCATGTGTGTGTGTGTGTGTGTGTGTGTGTGTGTGTGTGTGTGTGTGTGTGTGTGTGACACAAAAAGAAACACATACACACAGTTTAATAAATAGACAAACGTATAAATATTATTTTCATTTATTAAGGCAAACATCAATCTTATACAAAACATACAAACAAGCACATGTGTCTGTACAATCAGATACAAATGTGTGTACGTGTGTGTATGTATGTGTGTGTATATGTATACACGACTGTATTTGTATTCATGAGCTGCATGGGTTCATGACAACTTAAGTCGCCGTACACAAACAACAAATGTTTCTATTTGAGCGAGCGTGTGTTTGCTTATTTGTATGTGTGTGTGTGTTTGTGTGTGTGTGTTTTAGTGTATCTACGTGTGTATGTATCTTTGTCTATGTGTGTGTGTGTATTATGCGAGTGTGTGTATGTGTGTTGAATATAAGTTTGTATCATGAGGTTTTGGATGATAGTTTGTATATATGCGAGTCTGTATCTGTTTTTGTATGTGTATAAATGTTTGTTTGTATGGACGAGAGTGTGTTTTTGTATGTGTAATTGTCTGTATGTAAGTAGTATGTGTGTGGTTTTGTATGTGTAAATGTTTGTATGTGTAAATGTTTGTATGTAAGTAGTATGTGTGTGTTTTTGTATGTGTAAATGTTTGTATGTGTAAATGTTTGTATGTAAGTAGTGTGTGTGTGTTTTTGTATGTGTGCGTGTGTGTGTATGTGTGAATATACATCTTTAATGCATCAAGGAATTTTTAAACATCTTAGGTGTAAGAATTCGAAAATTATACCGTGCAGATGTCATTTTAAAAAACCGCTTTAAAAAATGCTGATGGTGAAGACCATGATGAAGAGAAAGATGCTGATGATGATGACCATGATGAAGAGAAAGATGCTGATGATGATGACCATGATGAAGAGAAAGATGCTGATGATGATGACCATGATGAAGAGAAAGATGCTGATGATGATGACCATGATGAAGAGAAAGATGCTGATGATGATGACCATGATGAAGAGAAAGATGCTGATGATGATGACCATGATGAAGAGAAAGATGCTGATGATGACGACGACGATGATGATGAAGAGGATAAAAAAAAACATGGCAAAAACGATAAAGTTTTGGTGAAAAATTTCATGAAGATGATAACAAAATGATGA